AAAGCAGAAAGGGAGATGTGCACCCCCTCAGTTGTGTCTTACTGGGAAGGTTTAACTGGTTTAACTGGTCTCCCGTGCAGGGTGGGTGCCCAGCACCCCTCTGCGCACCAGTTGGAGGTGGGTGCTTGTTTATGCCCCAGCTGCACCCACCTGCCGGGGTCCCTGCGGGGGCTGGAGAACCACAGCAGACCTGGGTGACTTTTTTTGGGTGCTGGCTCTGTTCCGGTGTGGGGGACACCCCCATGCACCACCAGTAAACAGGATACGAGCGGGCTGCGGTGGGGAGGCAGCGGCAGCATCGTCCCAGCCCCGGTGACAGCCGGTACGTGTCCCCCCGCGCCCCCCACCCAGCCCCGGTGCAGCCTGGCTGGGTGCAGGGTGCTGGTGGTTGCCGCAGGCTTCCCCTGCCTGGCAGGGGGTGCTGGGGGGGTGTCCAGGTGGTGTGTGGGATCCCTGGTGTATGATGTAGGGGGTCCCTGGTGCTGGCTTGGGGGTTGGCACCGGTGTGCTCAGGTCCTGCGCTGGGGTCCCCAATGCTGGGGGATGTCTGAGAACCCCCTCCAGGGCTGGGACAGGGGCACCCGTGGGGCTGGGGACAGGGCTGAGGCAGGGCTACGTGTGGGGCAGGGACAGGGCAACCCACAGGGCTGGGATAAGGGCACCTGTGGGGCTGCGACAGGATCCTCTGTAGGGCTGGGGACAGGACCACCTGTGGGGCAGGGACAGAGTCACCTTCAGGGCTGGGGACAGGGCCACCGGTGTCTGAGTCCCACGGCCGAGGCAGGAGCCCCGCAGCCGGGCTAGGGTGCAGCCAGGCTGGTGCTTACATCCTGGTGGGGTGCTGGGGGACGGCGGGACCAATCCTGCCCCATCGCTGCTGCAATTTCCTGCCCCATGCCGGGCAGTGCTTTCCCAATGCCAGGGCCAGGAAGGGCAGTGGTGAGGCAATGCCAGGCAGTGGGGCAAGAGCCCCTGCTGCACCCACCACCCAGGGAGCTGTGATGAGCTGAGTACAGTCTCAGCCTGGTTAAGTCTCAGCCCATCATGGGGGCAGCCGAGCCCCCTTTTGCCACCCGTCTCAGTGCCGTGGCACCCAACCAAAGCTGTGGGACAGCAGGCAGGGGCAGAGCCAGCCCTGAGCAAACACCCTTTGCAAACACGGGCTGCGGGCAGGATCTCGGTAGCGGGCAGGGCTGGCCCTGGCACGGGGCCGGCAACGGGGCCTGGCAGCAGGAGGAGCAGCA